ATCTATCTATCTATCTATCTATCTATCTATCTATCTATCTATCTATCATCCTGAGGCAGAGTCTCACGCCCCTCCTGTGCTGGGATTACAAGCAGGCTGTCACCTGCGCATGGCCACTTCTCTTTATGCCTGTGAGGTAAAGCTTTGTTCGCTGAGCCATCCTCCCAACACCCACATCTCCACTTTTTGAGCACTCTTGGGTAGGCTTTGAGCTCATGGGCTCCTCAACTGCTGTGACTCAAAGACCCTTCCTCTGCCACAAACCACTGACCACCATTCACACTTGAATTCTGTGCAGCCTCAGAACGTCTCTCAGTTTCCATCCAGACCCCGTCCCTCCTTCAGTCTCTGGTTCTTGTTCCCATGAAAGGAAATTCCAAGAAAGCAGCTGATGAACCGATTAGAGCTTCGGGGGCCGTGAAGCCCGTGGCTGTGGCAGTGTCAGGGCTGACACTATAATTTATCTTGGGTGACCTTTAGCCTACCTTGCCCACCTCAGTGTCACACCCAATGAAAAGATAAATGCTTTTGGAATGTAGTAACTTAAAGCCCACCTGCTACCAGCCAAAGGGGTAAGAATGCCATCAAAAAACCTACGAGGCCCACAAGCTCAGCTGCAACCTGCTTTTGATGTTCCTTCCAAGGTGTTTTTTTTTTGTTTGTTTGTTTGTTTGTTTTTTATTCTTTTATTTGGCTCTATTCTGCTAGTATAAAATTTAATCAAACTGCTTCTGTGTTGGAATATGCATGCTGAGGTAACCCCGGTCCATGTTCTCAGGCCAAGCTCTCTCCTGTGACTCTAGAATAGCCCATCTCCTTTGAGGAAAGGGCAGCTTTTGCGTTGATGAGCTACAATAATCAGAACAACCCTTTCAAGGGTCAAATCAAGTCTCCTTTTCCTTTGCCTTGATGAGGCCCTGATAGGTCCATTTAAAACAATAGCCTGCTGCCTACATCTTGCCTCTCCTTTCCTAGTTAATTTTCTTTGTGAACACATCTCTGCCACCTCCAAAATATACAATTCATTGTATTATTTGTCTCTCCAATAAAGGTGCATATTTAAAAAAATAGCAATTTTTTTTCATGGCTGTATTTCCACTGGGCAGAAACGTGCCTGGTACATTGCAGATGTTGAAAACTATTTGTCCTATGAATGTGAGGGAAAAATAATCCTTCTCAGACAAAAATGGAAGCACTTTGCTACGAAACAGTTGTCCTGTAAGAGGCAACCAAAGTTCTGTCAAGAGCTTATGAGAAAGGCAGAGCTTTGGAGAAAAACAGATGAAAGCTCCAGGGTAGGAGCCTCGGGAAGCTAAATCACCTGACTGAAGACTGCTGAGCTCCTACTGTATACCGCTGCCCATGGGCCACATGGAGAAATTGGAACAGCCAACTACTCTCAAGTTCTCATGCTCTTAGAATGTAAAGACCACCAGAACCTAGAAGCAGTGAGAGGAAAACATTCATGCCTCCCTCAGAAAAGATGCACTAGGATTTGGACTCAAGAACCGGTTGAGGGGTGGGAGTATATACGCAGGATCAGAGCTATGGCTCCGTGGACAGCATGAGGGCCCTGGGAACAGACCCTCAGGAACCATGGGAAAGTCAGGCATGGCAGCACACAATCCTGGGAGTGGAGGGAGAGACAGGTGGATCTCAGGCACGCACCGGCTAACCAGTCTAACCAAACTGACGAGGGCGCAGGGTCAGTGAGAGAATCCTACCTCAGAAAACCGAAGGTGGGGAGTGATTGAGAAACATCCTGAGGTCAACCTCTGGTACACATGTACGTGTGTACATGCACACGCGCGCGCGCACGCGCACACACACGCATTTTGTAATTTAACGTTAAAAGGCCATTACAAAATAGCGTTGCTAGAGAAATCAATGCAAACATTTCTTAAATGAAGAAACTTGGGTCTTGTTGGTCTTGTTTTGTCTTTTCTCCGAACATGTGCTGCCGGGCTAAAGACAGCATTTTTCTTAATTCTGTTGTAACCGGAGGCACCTACAGATATTTCAGGCTGCTCCTTGCTGGCTGGCTCCCGCCTCTGCTGTTGGGAGGCTCATTAGTAGCCAGTTAGGCTGCAATGTGACCTGAGCGTGGGACTGTCTGAAACTTTTCTACAGGTGATTCCATTGGCAAGCTAAATTTGGGGCCGCTGTCCGGGAGGACTGTGGTGAGAGCAGGGGCCTGTAGGAGTGTTCACACTTCTCCTCACTCACTCAGGCACACTCTCTGCTTGTGTCCCTGCCCCAGGACGTCATCCTATAGCCGTAATAGCAGTTTTGATCCACACTACCATGCAGATTTCTGAATGAGATAATTTCCAAGGCTTTATACCAATAACCCGGAGGGAAAAAAATTATTTTCTTTTCTGAGTCAGAGTTTTTCTGGGTAGCCTTGGCTGTCCTGGACTCGCTTTGTAGAACAGGCTGGCCTCAAACTCACAGTGACCTGCCTGCCTCTGCCTTCCTGATGGCTGGATTACAGGGGTGCACCACCATGCCCAGCTCCAGAGAAAATTCTTTAAAATTCACACTAAAGCTCAAGTAGGAAATGTGTTTTTGACAACATATGTCCCTGAAAGAGAGTTAAGTGGACAGGAATGACTGCCCTGCCAGGAGAGAGGATACTCCATAAAAGTCCCACCCCCAACGCCTTTGGCTATCAGTTTGTATAAACAATGAGCCTCAGAGAGCCTGTGTTGGGAAAAGGCTGAAGGTGCCAGCCAGTGGAGGAGCTCACCACACAGGGGGAGATTTCACACAGTTCTGAGCCGCTGGAAGACCAACTGGATCTGAGATGGCTCCTGGACCTGGCCTGTAACCCTCCTGCTGTCTATTTATTTAAGAAGGAAGAAGGATCAGCTAGAAAGGTGCTTACTCATGAGAGTGAAGACCTTAGTTTCATCCTCCAGAATCCACAGAAAGAGCTGGGTGCAAGTCACACTGTTGGGGAAGCTGAGCTAGGAGGACCCCTGGGGCTTTCTGGCTGCCTGACAACCCAGCCCAGCCCGTGACTCCAGATTCAGAATTCAGTGCGGGCCCTGTCGCAGAGAGCAAGAGTGAGAGGTGACTGGGTGACTGAAGAAGTCACCCACCTCTGGCCTGTGGAGTAACTATGAGTAGACAGGACTTGGGGGGGTCACTGAAGCTCTTTGTTCATCTTCCTAGTGAAGCCTCATTGATGAATAAGTTTTTTTCTCTGTGTTTCCACTGTCATGTGTCTCTTTAATTAGTATTGGAGGCAGGTGGCCAGGTTCTCGGCTTGTTGGCACTGGGGCTGTCCTCCAACACACCAGTAACAGTGAGACAAGCTCACCCGTCCAGCCTGAGTCTGTTAGGCCAGCCACTTCACCACAGCCCAGGCACAAAGAAAGCCTTTCTGAGGGAGAAGAGGGGGTTCTGAGAGAGCCGCACAGTGTATTTGCAGAACAGGACTCTCAAGTGGCCACTGTACTCTTGCAGCCTGGGTCACCCAGGATCTCCCAGGGAAGAGCCTGTCATATAATACAGAGAGTTACTGTGATAACCAGGCCCGAACAGCAACAGGCCTGAAAATATCCTGCAATGAAGGCAGCACAGGGGCAAATAATGGAGTGCAGCATTTATTTTTTTTCTAGTGGGTGGAGCTAGATAAGAATGAACAAACTGGGTGATAAATAAATAAATACAGCCTAGAGAAAAGAAAATGAAGGGTCACACACCTCACCGAGACGCCTGAAAACAGGGAAGGAAGAGTGTGCACTTTCCATAACACTGCCTATCGCAGCCAGCCTCATGGCTCTTTCCTGCCTTGACAGATCCAAACTGTCCGTTCAAAATAGTGCTTAAAACAAAGCCTTCAGATCCATAGTTCACTGCTACCAGCCCAGCTGTCAGGCCCACCGACTCGGCACCACACACCAGACTGCTGCCTTCTGGTCCTCCCGGGCAGTCCTGCTGCCCACTCCTTTGACCACTGTCTCCCTCAGGTCCCTCCCCCACACCCTGCAAAGCCCTCCCGGTGGTTGGAAGGACAGAGTCCTGGCAACAGCATCCTAGAAAAGGCACAGACGTCTGGATAGCTCTGAAAGGAAGCAGCAACCCCCCAGCAGTTTCCTTAGCATTTGAACACACTCACGGTTCTCGCTCCTGTGAGCTGTTGTAAATAATCTTGAATCTCAGTGGTGTTGTTGGTAGCTGTGATATCCACGAATTCCAGAAGCCCTTGCTTGAAAGGCAGCTGGCTGAGAATTTCTTGGGTCTTTCTGCAGTAGGGGCAGCTGGGCTTGATGAACACGACCACCTTCCCGGGGTGGATCTTGCAGTTCACAAACTCCTGAGCCATGCTGACAGGCTGCTGCTTCCCCAGGAGGAGCCTTCAGCGTTCAGCTGAAGGTACTGTCCGCTGGAAAACCTGGAAAACGCGGCTTTGCCAGCAGCTCTCATTTAATAAGGAACCTCCTTGGAGGAGGAGTTAACAAGTAGGATGCTTCATTTTTAAAGGGCCAGCCCCAAAGTCAATTCATTCCAGTATGATTCACCAGTTGCTAGGCCTACAAATGCTCGCTTACTGTTTAATCCATAATAGCATAGGCCAGGCTGTCTTTGTGTTCTCCCTGCTTTGTCCAATAGCAGGGAGCATAAATAAGTCACCTTTAGGGGTAGCAGAGACGGCACTGACCAGTTTCTGGGAAGGAGGCCGATGCCTCCGAGAGTAAATGTTCTTTCTTCTCTTTTGGAAACACGGTTGTCTTAAAATCATAAACACAATCCTTCAGGAAAGCTTTGACACCTCGTAGGAAGTGGGGTCTGCCCGGTGACGGGGCCCTGTGCTGCACCCGGGGTGATTTCTTGGCCTGGAAGCTGGGTGCTTGTTGTGTGATTAGCGGAATTGGTTCTCCGTAAAAATATGGTATTTTTGACAAAGATATTTGGACTTTAACTTCTGTCTCTGAAAAGTGTGGTGTACAATACTGAGGCTATTCTGAGCAATGTGTGCCTTTCAGCAGGGCAGATTTGTGAATGGACTTTGCTACGGGAACTACCTGGGAACCTGGACCTGTCTGACTCCCAAAGCCTTAGGGTTGGTGACCTTTGAACAGCAGTTCAGTAAGAAACAAATTCCCACATAACCCCTGACCTCAAACTCCAGAGAGAATGAGGATCTTTTCCTGCCTGACTTGTTTTCATGTGAGCCAAGGTGCAATGGCAGGCAGGGGGAGGAGGCTTGGGTTAGATAAGCAAAGCAAAGAGAAAATTCCTGTCAGACTAAACCTCCTTCCCAAGAAAGCAAGTTCCACACTGGAACCAGAGTACCTTAGAGGAGGTAAGGCTAGAGCCATGCCATGTTGGTGGCTTGGGTGCATATTGTGACAAAAGAGAAAGAAGGAAGTTGACTTCTGTAGGCCGATTTGTCACTCTCACTGTTACCAATATCAAATGGCCAGATTCAGGGACACAGAAGTAGCTCAGAGAAAGCTCTGTCAACATGGGAGATGTGTAGCTGGGGTGACCGGTCCACAGCCGGAGCCCTCACCACCCTTAGCCTCCGCTCTTCTATTCAAACTCAGGGGTCCTCTCTTCTTTTTCTTCACCTCAACCTCCGGTGCTAGCCCCTCCCAGCGGCCTCTCAAGGCCCTGGTGTCTGCAGGGCTCCTGCTGATCCCATGGTCCTGGGGCTCCAGCATGTGGTTCAGGCTGTTCTTTTAGAGTCTTTCCTTGTGTCTGTCTGGTCTTTCCCACCTTGCTGCCTCTCTTTCCTAACAACCCAACTGTCTGGTGTCTTTCCCAGACCATGGTTGAGAGCCATCATGACCTTCTATCTGTTGCACGGCTACCATCTGCCACCTGTGTTTTTCCTGCCTCCTCTTTCCTAATTCCCCTGCAATCTGACCTCCTTATCCCCTCCTGTTGAAATGTTCCAGGTTGCTTAATCATCCTAGAAGCAGGTATTCAGACCAGCCTGACCCAGAAGTGTGAGTGTGCCTTTAGCATGTGCAGGACCCTGGAACGCTCCCAGGAGGCCTGGCTGTAGAGAGTCACGTTATCCCTGACTCCAAACTCCAGACAGAGGAGGATTTTTTTGTGTGTGTGTCAGTGCTGTATCTCTAATTTTACAATGTCTGATTTGGAGGCTACCATATTTACCTCAAATCTTACAAATGATAGTACCTGGATACAGAGAAACACTGTTGTCTGTCCCGCAGTTCAGCCCGAGACTAACATCTGAGACATTATCTAGTATCTAATAATATCTGAGATCCTTGTCTGCCTCAGGAGTGCTCCGGCTGCTGAGGAGCACCACCTGAAGCTTCCTTCAGTGTCTCAGCCTCACTGAGTTAGTGATCAAGCTGCCCAGGTTGCTCCTGTACCTGCTCATCCTCCTCCAAGCCCTGCCATCCATCTTGTGCGGGCAAGCCATCTTTACTGCCTTCTGCTTTTACTTACACGGAATAGCCAAGCTCTCCATGTTGGACTCCTTTGATCTCTTTATCACAATCTTCCACCCGCTCTGTGATGCTGCTAGACAGTCTCTAGAAATTCTAGCACTATCACTTGTGAGGCTCTGATAACGTAAGGATGAATGCATTTTTTTTATCCCTATTCTTAAGGGACTTTATAAGTGACAGAAAATTATCTTAAAAGAACGATTGGGCTGGAGAGATGGCTCACGGGGGAAGAGCACTCACTGCTCTTCCAGGAGATCCAGGTTTGAGTCATAACATCCACATGGTGGCTCACAACAGTCTGTGACTCCAGTGCTATAGTACCCCACACCCATTTCTGGCTTCTATGGGCACCAGGCATACACATGGTACAGACATACATGTAGGCAAAACACCCACACGCATAAAAATTAAATTTAAATTTAAAAATAGTGACCTATGATGGTTAGGGTGCAGCGTATGGAGTGAGCATAGCTGGGAAGCTGGGAAGCACTCAGTCTGGTGGGAAGGAGGTGTCTGCTCAGCAGTGCTGCCCAGAAGAGCCAATACACAATCGGCATTTCTCAGTGAACCAGCAGAAGTTAACTGCAAAGAAAAGGGTCCTTATCTGTCTACTCCATAACTCATCCAGGCAGTGTTGATTAATCAGCTACCCTAGGCTGGACACACAGGTCCTCATACATAATTCCATCCTTAGGGATAGGGAAAAATGGGTGCAAATATTATGAGCTATGTAGGATGATACAATAGAGGTGCATAAGGGCACCAAATGAGAGCAGTCCACCAGCAGCGTGGTTAGGAAAGGCCCCTAACAAAGGACAGCCACATATAAATATTCAAATGTGTAATGGTAAGGCTACATCCCTCTCTCAGGAAACACAATAAATGAGTAAGCACATTTGGATCACAGGTGTGCTGTAAGTAGTGACAGAAATGCTTTGGGGCAAGAAAACCTTACAGAGCCTTCCCACGCTTGCTCTGGAACTGTTCCGGACTCTCACAGGCTGAACTGGTTCTGAGGGCACCTCGGAGGCTGGGGAATGCCATGGCTTAGTCCCTCCCACAGCTGCCCTTAGGTGTGTTTCTGGGGGCTCCAGGTGAGTAAACATTTACTAGATGCAGGAAGATTTCGGCGTGTTGCTGTACCCTCTGTAGAATGTTCTCTGGCTCTCCACAGATCTGACCCGAAAGCCTCTCAGGGCACTTCCTCACCTACTCCTTCACTGAAATCAGTAATACTGACAGCCACATGCTGATCATGTGCTAGGCTCACTGTAAAAAGTTAATGCAAGCAATTTAAATCCCCACAGCAACTCGGAAAGGTAGACCCAAAATTGAATAATGAAAAGGTCCCTCCCTGACTTGGAGGACGTGAAATTCAAATAAGATCGTGAGTATCAGCTGCTTCCCAACAGGCCCTGCCCTACAGTTTCCAAGATCCAGGTTCAGTTTGGACATGGAACCTTCAGTTACTACCGATGACCCCAGAGTTCCTGGGCTCTCCTGAGGATTCTTGCTCCAGTGTAAATTCAAAACCCTCTGTGGGTCTTGCACGTTTTTAGGTGTTTCCACACACTTACTGTTGCTATGGAGGTCATGAAGGGAAGTAGTTCCAAGCACAGTCGTACGAAGCAAAACAAACTAATGCCTAGATAGGAATTCCTTTATTGGACATTCTAATAGAGAAGACAGATTTTACTTACCATCTCTTTACCAGCTCTTGGTGCTGAGGCAGTATATCGCACAGGATGTGGTTACCAGATGTGGTTGCCTTATACTTCTCTCAAAACTAAAACCAGGTAGTGGGCATGCAACAGAAAAAAACTTCCCTCCAGTGAGCTAGCTGCTGGGAAGGTGGGGGAGACCTTTATGCTAAAGGGTGATTTTGTCTGAGAGGCTGACGTTAGGGTGGCTTATATAAGTTAAGGGTAACAGACTGGCCTTCACACAGGCCAGGGTTTACGGTCCAGTCATGCATAACTTAAGGACAAGCATTATTACTTCCTCAGGCTATTCTGATCCCTGATTGCATGCCCTCACAAAGCTTTCTGACATTCCCCAAAGTTGCTGATAGCTGAACTCACAGTCATGACAGTAGACATCACCTTTCTTCTGTGACAAATAAGGGTCAAGGGAACTCACATAGGGAGCCAGGCTCTCAAGCTCTGGTCAACCCTGCCTTTTTTGAGAGTGGGTGTGCTGGGGTTGCAGAGTGGATGACCCATTTGGTCTGTGATGTGGATTCCTTCTAACAAGTTTTGGGGGCAAAGGAGATAGACTCTCACCACAGTATCTGAACAAGAAGACTTGAATGCCTCAGCTCTTGTAGTTAGAGTCACTAATCACCCAATTAAGCTCAGTTTTTCTTATCTGGAGGAGTTTGTGGGCAAAAAGTTGGCTCAGAGAATCAGAGATCTAGAGCTCAGCAATACTGTGTCTGAGATTCTCTTGTCTACCCCTCCTGATTACAACAGAGCTACACATCTGGCCTTCATTCACACACCTGTCTTAGCTGGTAGGCAATAGAAGGGGCATAGACAGGTGGATAGAGTAGAGAAAGCCCCGAGTGAGTGTATATTGTGGGCACGGGCCCAGCCAAGACAAAGACCAAGGCCTGGGGCCCATGGGAAATTGGCAAAGCCCATTTCCCATCAGGGGCAGTCTCAGAGAAACAAAGGCTTTATCTGTTGTATGATTGACAGGCCAGAGTGCACAATAATTGGTAGCTGCACCTTCCTCCTTCTCCTGTGTATTTACAGCCTGAACCTCCTCCTCTACAGAGACCATCGAACCCCTCCCCCTGGACTATACATAGTACGAAACCCTGAGGCTCTGAGTTGTGCTCTTAGAAGTTCCATCCCATCGGAGAACATTGTACTTTTCTGTACATGTGTCTGTGCATCCGTCCTCCCATCATTCCCACAGTGCTGTCCCACTCAGGGCATGGCAGACGAGGCATTTCCAGCTCCAGAACTTTCCCTAGCGTGGTTCTTTCCA